TTTTTTTTCTTTATTGGGGAAAAGACGTTTTGGTCATTCCATATTTTTTTAGAAAAGCGACATGAAATTATTGAAGAATAAGCGTGAATAGGAAAGTGAATTTAATTTGATTATTGCTTTGAATATAATATATTATGCTGTTACCAATGATTTTTTTTCTTTTTTTGAGGAAAAATTATTTTGATCTTTCCATATTTTTCGAAAATCGTACGCGGAATTGCCTTGATGTGGGATGGTTTGCCATATTGTTGTGATTTTGGCCGTTCCAAGAAATGTGGGATGGATTGCCGAATCGGCTTTTCCCCAATAAAGAAAAAAAATATTAGTAACTAAATTCATTAGTAACCAATAATAAATTAATTCAAAAAAAAGTTACTTTCCTGTTCACGCTTCACGCTCGATTATTCTTTAACAGACATTACAATATTACATTATCATTATTAGCTAGATAAAAATAAGTTGGTTTCAACGCTTTTCAAATTTTATTACCAAGAAAGTCATCACACCGTCGTAAAAATAAAATTGACTCTCAACGATTTCTAACCCGATTCCGGTGGCGAGTTTCCTACTTTGGCAGACTTTGAATAAGAATATGCCACTGTAAAATGTCGAGACTTCGTAAAACATAAATTTTGTTTGAGTTAGGTGGCACTCAATACGTTATTTATGTTAGTAAATTATCTTAATCAGATTTCATTAATAGGGTTGCAATTTAATACTTCGGGAGGATAGTCCACGAATTTTGAAATTAGCTATAAGGGGGTCGCGTCGTTGATCAAACAAATTTCATTGATTGATATACTTAAGCACTATTTAAAAATTGTTTGTTTATAGTAAACAAACAAAATACTCCGTAACAAGATTTGATACTAAGTAAACATACTTTTAGCTTTAACAAAGGTTATTCCCAGATCAAGACGATTCTAATAGTGGCAAAATCATCAAAAAACATCCCGGTATATCGCTTTTCAAATTTCAAAACGTTGGTTTATCTTTGTTTATGTTGTGCCTCAGATCGGTTTTTGCCTCAGGTTAGGGTTCGGGGCACAGTAGCCTTATGGCCAACGGCACGCTCATACTTAACCCCAACTCTAACCTTATACTAACAGCTAATACATTGTTTTAATTTCTACATAAATTAGCCAGTTCTAAAAGAAAAAAAAATATAAAATGTCTTATTTATTCAAGAAAAAAAGGTTTACACGTTTTGATAAAAGTTACGCATTTGAATACATTACGTGTGAACTAAAAAATCTTTTTAAAAAATAATTTACAAATTATTTTACAATAACGATCAATTTAATTCTTTTATATTGTATACCGTAATAAATAACTATTAAGTATACTATAAAATTCGAATAAATTCATTTATATATAGACTTATAGTCATTAATTCATTAATAGTCATGTAATTAGGGACATCCTTGACTATAATACATCCAAAATGGATTTGTTTTAAAAACTTTGACAGTTTCTGGATCAGAATCCCTTAACAGCAATTTGCCCAAGTACATACATGGCTCATTTGATCCGGCTTGCCAAAACCAAATTTTATGAAATCCAAAATCTTCATCTGTGGTATTTTTCGGCATTACGACAAGTGGACCTCTTAAACGACGAAATGATCTAAAAGACCATCCTGCGGCAACAAATCCGAATGTTGAGCCAAATGTAAGTATCAGATCATCACAAAGACTAAGGAGCTTCATATCAATAAGTGCTCCTAGTTCTGTGCCAGGATTATGCGTTTGTTTATTTTTTATACTCATATTATTATTAACATAAACAATTTTAACCAATCTTTGTTGTTCAGAATTTAGTGAATTTTGAATATAACTTATTAAGGTATCTCGACTTTTGTTTTCATCAGCTGCTATAAAAATTGATACTTTTTTTTTTATTCCTATCAACAGCGTTTCCACTACTCGACAATAATGATCAATAGGTATTATCCAACCTTTTGTTTTACGGGTAGACTTCCTCACTCTTAAATGAATTCCTATATTATACTCTCCAAAATGATTGGTCATAAAATTTTCTACTTGGTTTTGAATATCAGATTTTAATCTTAATAATTTTTGACTAATTACTGTAAAAACCTTATAATCAGGTATTATTTCATTGATCCATTCTTTATGATTAGGATTCGACATTATTGGTGCACACGCATAATCCCAAGTATGAACATTTAAAATATCGTAAGAATTTACTTCTTCACTATTAAGATTTCCTCTAGTTATTAAAGAAAAATCATTGTATAAGATATTATGCAAACTTTTACTACTACGCCTTTTATATAATGTTGCTACTTTTTTCCAGTCATGTTCAAAATCTTTCTCAAAGTAATCTTCGAATTGTTCATATCCGTGAATAAAGAATAACCTATCGGTAATCATTGCATATAAAAAGCCACATACTATTCCAGGGAATCGATTTCCTAATCCCGTTTTCAGATGAGGCCTCACAACAACAACTTTTGGAAGCTTTGTTGAATTAGTTATACTTTTTGGGCTTAGTTTTAATAAATTTTCAACAGTTTTATTGTGTTTCTTAATATAATTATCATATAGTTCATTAAATTTCGAAAACTTGTTCATTTGTTCCTTTTCGAAATTGTTTATATGATCAATTGAGAAGGAATCTCCAATAAGAAATTTGTTCACGTCATATTCTAGAAAGAGCATGTAGAGACACAGACAAGTGGCAATAACCAAGATTAAAAAATGCCTCTTTGATTTTAAAAGCCTCGTCATATTTACTTCACTGGAATTTAAGAAAGTCGATAAGGTTATTATTCATGAGGTTACAGAAGGCTGCTATCTAAATAATTGATTGGTTGTGCTACAATTTATCTGTTATTATTTTTTCATTTACGTACGTACGTACGTACGTACAAATTATTTTCACAACATTTGCCGAAAAAAAAAGAAATTCATTGATTTCCTTATTTGTTAAGTATTAGTATCATCTTTTGTATCGGTATCGGTATGTGCCATTTTAATGTAACATGTTTTATAAGTTTCTTTGCGAAATCTATGACTCTGGTTATTGTTGTGCACATAAGCACCCTAAAAAGTTGCATCCATGACTTTCTCTAAGTTTCTTATGATAAGTTCATTCTGAATTATAGCGTGTACGTACGTACAGTGGCCTCCGGAAGTATAAAATGGTTACACAAAAACATAAATTCATGCAAATACATAATTTACAGCACAATCGCCTGACTTAATCCAACAGAAAATGTGTGGAAAATATTAAAGGACAACGTTTAAAAATGAAGGCCACCTCCAAACACTTACGAAGCCTTGAAGATGGTACTTCTAGAAGAATAGGAAAACCTAGATTCATCAATCTTTATGAATTTAATAATATATTATTAAATTTAC